ACTTAAGAAAATTATTTTGACCTGTGTAAATATTTTTACAATCACTCAAATATTTTTTTCTGTTTTCCTTACTCTTTTGTCTTTTGGTTGCTGCAGCATCAGTAGTCTTTTGTAAATTCAAGTTTGCAATCCTTTTATGTCTCTATGCAGTATTTCTGTTTGACTTTAACTGCAAGTGAAGTATATAACTTAGGAGCCAAGATACCAGTAAAAAATGAACTTGAAATAAAAGGTCATTTGTTTGCTTTACAAAAGAAAGCTGAAATGACCATCAATAGTTATTTTACAGACTAAAGGAATACTTGTTCTTCTTCCTAGAAATTTGTATAATTTATTTTTTTAACCTTTATTATTTCTTTAGCCCAGTGCAGATCTCATTAAACCAAAACTGGCTCCATTAAATGAAGGTGGGTCAGAGCTGCTAAACAAGGTAAGAACTTGTCTGTTCGTGCAGTTGTAGTTAATGACCGTTCTGTTTGTTCAACTGAACTGGATAGCTGTACAGCAATATTTGTATAATGTGCCTGTCACTATATAGACATCAAGGTAATATAACCCAGAACGTAAAGTAAAATGCTAATAAGTTACTAAATATTGTAAAGCATCTTACATTTATTGTGCACATGTATTGCAATATTGAACTTCCTTTTGCAAAGACATTTTGGCCTTTGTAATTATTTATTTTTCCATTTAATGAGGTAAATTAGTAGAAACCAATATTCCGTTTGTTCTGTGCAGCTGGCTGGCTTTCCAATAAAGTCGTAAATTAAAATATGTAGCTGGCTGAAATGATTAGGTTATCGAACATTTTCTGCATCACTACGTCAATCCTATTACATTCAGGTTTTTTTCTTTTGTTAGTTGGTTAAATTCCTCCTAAAGAAACAGATGCTTAAAGAATTTGGAATTTACTAGCTTTGAAAACTTCTGATTTCCCACTTGCTACAGATTTTCAGAATTACAAAACACATTCTAGTATTCAATGTAATCAATAGTTCTTATTAGGTATTGAACTCATTTAGTTCGACTGAACTTTTTTTAAAATGCCACACTTCTTAAAATGTATTTTTAAGTTATGGGCACTCAAGATATTAGCAAGGAGTTTTGTTTTCTGTTTTCTAGCCTGCATTACCAAAGTGATCTGTCAAGTCCAGTGTCTGAATCAAATTGTTGTTACCCATTAATTAGAGCATACAAGAATTCAGACTTGTATTTTACTTATAGATTAATGTAGTTCTCTTTCAAAAAATAATTTCAAAATCTGTTTCATAGCAGGTTTTGAATATGTGCATCTGATGCCTGTCTATTTTTTTTTTTTTTTTTTCCCAAAATAGTTCAAAGTTTATGTGGTGAATTTAGTCTGACTGATAAAGCATGGCTATTTCCTGTGATACCAAATGTGACATGCAGTAACCTGGTATTTGTCCCTTTTAAACAGGAACTCTGGATAAATTCTTATTTGCCTGTTGATTGAAAATACAAATAATGAGCAGCAACAAGATTTGCATCTCTGAACATGCAATTTTCTTTATCATGAATCTCGTTAGTATCAAGATGCTGAGCTCACTAATCTCAGTTCAGGAAAGCGTGTGCCAAATTTAAGTGAATGGTCCTATATATTACAGTAGAATTGGAGACTTAAATTTCTTGTTGACTGAGGCAGAAAACACAATAAATAAATGGACTACTGATTTCTTATGAAGGCCATTTTTATAAGCATTTAGAAGCTTGTTTGCTTTCCTAAGCTATGAAGCGTGTTTTCTTACCAAAAATAATTTGGGAAATTCAAAATAGCACAAGAGTGTTCACAAACTTTTTTGTGTTCATTAACCCAAAGACAGTTGCTTGTCTCCAAGAAGAAAATGAAAAGTTGAAGACCAGACTCAAGACCATAGAAACACAGGTAAATTCCTTGTAAGCTCGGATGCTTAATGCTGTTTACGTATTAAAAAATATCTATGTAAGAATCCCATGGTTATTGTTCTTTTCAATTAAAATACATTTCTGAGGTTTTACGGTTTCACTGTATCACAGGCTACAGCTGCACTAGATGAAAAGTCCAAACTAGAGAAGTCACTGAAGGATTTACAGATGATCCAAGGAGATCAAAAGGTAAGTATAATTAAGATTTCCCTCATCACCACCCCCGTTGAACACAACTGTTGTCTATACATCTATAAAGTAGGTCTGTATAGTGTGTTTGTTTTCTGGCAAATAAAAATGTTCAAGTTAGTATTGTCATGTTCCTGCTGGTCTGTCAGTCAGTAGATAATCCAGAAAATTAGTTGATTTTATGACACTTATTTTGTGTCACATGGACCACAATAAATTCTTATCAGAAAGTATTATTCCAGGTACTAACAGGAAGTAGTATTCCAGAGTTTGTATTATCAGGGGTGATATTTGTATTAACAGATACAAATTTATTTTGGTTTGTTTATTCCTGTTTAGTAATGAACAAATGAGATCTAATTTGGTTTTCGTAGCAACAATAAAACACTAATTCTTTCAAGCATTTGTCATGCTTGATATTGACACAGACAAGTCAAGCTTGCTGCTTCTCACTTCAAACTTTAAAAACTTAAATACTTACATGTCCCGTGTCTTGTATTCTTAAACATCAGTTGAAGTTTTGCTACAAATGTCAATGATCATGAGTCAAATGACATGAAAAAAGTTTAATTTTATGTAATTCTACCCATATCATCATACTGCCAGAAATGGTTCACTGTTTATTTTTACTACTTGAGGTTCTTAATTGCTTTTGTAAATGAGGATTCAAACATAGTGAGTTTCTGCTGCAGAAAGAAAGCATAAGAAACTAGAAGTCATGCAGGTTGACACAAATAAATCTGTTCAGGTCAGCTTAGGTTTTTTTAAGTTTGTACTTTTATTTTGTCAATAATTAGAATTTCTGAAGTTTGTTCACATGTGTTTCTTCAATTTAAAACTTTTCAGTTCAAACTTTTAACAAAACTAGAACATTTTCATCCCATTATTTTGAGAAATTGACTTTTTTAATTCCTGCAGTATTTACAGATTTGGAAGTGAAGTTCAATATCATAAAACATTTCCACTTTAATTTTCATATTTTAATCCTGATTTCTTTTTATTTTGCTTTCTATCTGGTTTATGGTATGTACTTGGCTTTTTAAATATAATTTCATCTAGTAACTTTCAAAATCTGTATTTAATATTATTATTTAATAGTGAACTTGATTTATCAGTCATGGCAAATATTTTCTTTATCTGTTTTGTTAAGCCTTAAATTATTAAAGGTTTAAAATACTAAAGGGGTTTATTAAATCCTGGATAATAGTGTTTGTAGTTTTAAAAGATTGGAACCAAATCTTATCCTACTTTTCTGATTAAACATGAATTGGCCTCACTGTCAGGGCTGGTGAGTATCTTCAGCTTTCAGGACTTAATTTGGTCTCTCTAATCTCTCACTTTCTTCTCCAGCTTTTACATTTTCTATTTACAGGGATATATATGTTGTTGAAATTAGCTAGTAGATATAGTGCTGAAATGTGCTACTTCATTTAATCAATTAAAGTATTAGTTGTTTGGAGAAAATGCTAAATTTTATCTGGTTTCATTCCATATTTTTATAGGATGGGGTAAATAAAATCATACAAACCCAGTTGCTCATTAAAGCAGTAGTTTTCAAACTCTTCGGACAGATGACTGCCAAACCACAATGGTTCTTAAGGACCAACTGTTAGCTCAGCAGATTTCTACCTTTTTTTTTTCTTGTTTTTGTTGGTTTGGTGTTTTTTTAATAGTTTAATATAGTGCTGCACACCAAGTGTGAACCACAGTTTGGGAGTAACTGCTTTGTTGGATCAGTTTAACTTGAGGATTTAGAATTTTTCCATAGCTGACATATGTCACAGTTTAGGAAAATGATTGCTGTCTATTCCAATCCGAAACATTGTATAATGTAGTGCTTTTCAGCATTGCATCCTTGGACTCTGTCTCAAAATTCAAAATAAACTTTTCTCGTTTACAGTTACCATTGTCAAGTGGTTTTCTGTGCTCAAATCTTACCTTCCACATAGAAAAAGGAGCAGAGCTTCCTTGGTTTTAAATTTTTGTTCTTTTTAAAGTGCTGCTGGTACAGCCTCATCCTTAGTCATTATACTTTTGAGAGTTTGAACTTGAGCTTTTAAACCTGAGAGGGTTGTTGTTTTTTTTTTTAAATGGAAATCCATAGAACAGTTACATGAATACAAAGTTTTGTGACCCAGAACTGGTGTCCAGAGGAATTTGGGTTGTTTCTTCTCACAAGGAAAAAGAAAGGTTGCTTCACGAGCAACTGCGGAGACTCTTTTTGTAATGTATCTGAGAACTGTGCAATATTGGTACCTGGTTGATAATATGAGCCTCAATACTTTCATCCTTTCCTACCTGTAATACAGTAATAGCTTTTGAGATGCCTGTGATATTTTGCCTGCTTTAAAAATACGTTCTAGCATAGACATACAGATCTTAAACTAATTTACTACTTCTGTATGCTGAATAACTTCTTGTGATATACTTTGTCCTGTGGCTTCACCTAATTCCCAAGGAAGTGAAGTACAACAACATGAAACCTCAACTTAGCAGAGAAGACGTTCCAGCCATCTTTAAAATGCATATATTAACAATTTTTTTAAAGTTATAAACTAGTGCTTTAACTATTTTTTTCTTAAAGTACTTCTAATTTAGGCCTTACAGGAATAGCATGAACATAATTATTAAAAATTAAGATGTACCCACTTTATCTGGAATTTTGCGCTTGATATTTCTTCTTTTGCATTTGACATATTTCAAATACTTTTCTTTTGAAGACTAATGCAAACCAGGATATCACTGAACTGGAGAATAAAGTGGCAGCTTTGAAGTGCCAGTTTGAGAAGACTTTGAGTGACTCTACTGCAAACCAAAAATTCTTGGAAGAGAACTTGGTGACAACAAAACATGACTTGCTTAAGGTTCAGGATCAGCTATCCACAGCTGAAAAGGTTGGCATTTTATTGTAAGGTAAAGATGAGATCCTTACATTTAGACTGATTAGTAATTTAACAAGCATAAGCTACAGGATGCAGAGTTTACTGGGTCACACTTGTGCCAGTATGGTTTTGTTATTTCAGTGGAAAAATACATGTTATACGTAAAATAGCAAAACCACAACTAACTGCATGATTATAACTAGATGAATACTTAAAAATTGCCCATTTGTCTGCATAGAAACTTTTCAATGAAAAGTGTATTCCCAGTCTTCAGAAGACTTTTAGCCTGATTTCGTTAGAAAGTAAAGTTTGTATTTCTCTGTTTCTCCCAGTAATACCATTTGAATCTACTAGCTAAATTTGAATGTTAGAGAAACTACTATTCTGAAACTGGAGGAGGAAAAGCAAGTCATCTTTTTTAAAAAGCATATTAGCCTGGTTTTCATAATTTGTTGGTGGTGTTATTATTATGTAGGAATTAGAGAAGAAATTTCAGCAAACAGCTGCCTATCGCAACATGAAAGAGATTCTCGCTAAGAAGAATGAACAGATAAAGGATCTACGTAAAAAACTTTCAAAGTAAGTGGTGCTGTTCTGTCTGTCCAAACGGGATCCTTGTTCTGGATCCGTGTTCTGCTCCCATTTTCTTGTTATAAATGTGAAGCTATCTCTAAAACAGACTATAAATTTTCCTTTAAAAATAATTTCTAGCAGGCTGTTCCCTGAGTTTTGACAAGCCAATCCTTTTAATGGATGCTAGGTGGTGAATAGACTGATGTGTGCAACAGCAGCTACTGCGTGGCAAGTAATGAGAGAATTTAGTATGGAGAGGATACAAAATGTTAATGGGTGTGGTAGATAAGCCCCCAGGTGCTACACACAGATACACAGGTGTGAGATGTACCGGGTGCTTTGGCATTATCTTATTTCTTCCACGCTTGTTTATGGGAATGCAAAGTCTGCAGTATGTAAACAGGGCTAGGCCTGTACTGAGTAAAGAACGATGCACCCTGGCCGTTATATTGCATAGCAGACTATCGTTCTGCAAACGTCAAGTGAGCTTTGGCAACATTAGACCTATGCTCTAGGAGGACAGAGGTGGAACTTAAAACTTCTGCTTGTATTTTGGGATTTCTGGGTAGGTTTCTGGTCATTCTCTCATTTTACTATTTAGTAGTCTAAAAAGTATATGCATTTCTCTGTGCCCTAAGTCATACAGTGAGCCTTGACAGGAAAGCATCACTAGTGGGAGTAATTTATTACTTGGGTTTCATATTTTCTTTGGAGACAAAATGTGTCTTGGGTATTTTCTACTCTGTTTTAATGATTTTTTTATTTATTTATATATTTTTTTTAAATCCTCAGATATGAGCCAGAGGACTAAAACACCAAGAACATCTGATCTATCAGAAACTGCCATAGAAAGAAAATGTAGACTGGTATTATTTTTCAATAATTTTTGTTTTGAATGGTATATTTTTGCTTCTAGTGCTTAAAATAACTTTTTAGTATTGCTAGTAAGATGCTGAAACTCCAATCTTACTTACTTATAAACGTACAATTTATAGGTATTAGTTTCTGTAGTCATGTTTTTTTAATTGTTAACCATCAACATTCCTTGAGAAACAGCAAACAGGAGCTTACTGAAGAACCAAGACCATTCTCTACAAAGAAATGAGTTTATTTTTGTTAAGAAAAGAAGGAAAAAAAGAGGGGAAAAAAAGCATTAGATTTTTTGATGTCTCTGAAGTGGAAACTCAAGTTGTTACTTCTGCATAGTTAATAGAGCCATGAAGTGGCATTATATGTGAAAATTGCATCAGTGGAAGTAAAAGGAAAGAGGAGAGAAAAGAAACACGCAGATTTCGTAATGTTATTTCACACTGGACAGCTCATACCTCAGCAAAATGTGGTCAGTAACATTTTGCCAGGGGGTTTGCATTAGATAGTGAGGTAAATATGCTTTATAGTGGAAGTGCTGGGCCCTTTCAAATAAAGCCAATAATTGGAATTATACTTTTTCACTCGAATTTATTTGAAATAAATTCGAACATCAGAATACAGATTCTGATTTTGTCAGTGTTCTTAACGTTAAGGTGATAATCTGAAAAAGCATAGGGAAGTTGCTAATGGAGCAGTTTTCTTGGGAAATAAGTTGGTTTCGGTGTTTTCATCTCCTTTTTTATTGTAACCTCACCAGAAAACAGCTTACTTCTCTCAAGACTTCTGCTTGTAATCCTCTGCCTTGCATTTATCTGGAAGCCTCTTAATAGTGCATTCTACTTGTTCATCTGTCTCTGTTCGTATGTATGTTGTATTTTACTCCAAATAAAACCATTATGTTTTCAAACACTTAATCGTAAAGGAGCTGTTTTTTAATAGGAATGTTTTGGATTTTGTTTTTAATATATGTAGAAAGGAGTGGCAGATCAGTAAAGAATCTTGCTAGAAATGCGAACATGTAAATTATAGATTCATGCCCAAAGCCACACCACATCAAATAGTTGTAAAAAAAGTGTACCAGTGGCAGGGCTGGGAAAAGGCTGTTGTATGTGCGCTACAGAAACTGGCATTTAACAGGGCTTGTCTCAGGAGCCGCTTGAACGGAAATGGATCGTTTTTCCTCGTTCTTTCTCACAGGCAAAGCCTGTTAAAAATTGCTCAAGCAGTGATGCCCCATTCAAATCTGCCATACATTTGCAGTCTGTAAGTTGTTTTGTTGTCCTTTTCCCCCCACTGTTTAAGCAAGATTGGCAAAGTCCTGTGTCAGTAGCATGGTATCATTGCTGTAGCATGATAGTAGGGCTTTATGGGGTGACGTGCTCCTCATGCAGTGTCAGTTAAATTCATGATGGGTATTATTTTGCCCCTTGTACAGTCACTAAAATGTTAAGTTCTTAATAGGGATGTACTGAAGAGCTTTCTGGCCTGTGTTTCCTCAAAGCGATTATGTTGACACCAACAGGAGTACTTGTCTGGGTGAATAATGTGTGTTTTTCTTTGTAACAAAACTCATTTTAATGAGATCAGTTACTATTTCTAAAATGGCAGGTAAAGGGTGAAGAAAGGCAGAGAATCTCTTGACTTTTGGTGGTTTTTTTCTCTTTTCTGATAAATCTTTTGGCTGTTAACTTAGCTAGAATTTTGTCTCTGTGATAGGCCTTCATTATCTGTGTAGAGACCATTTCAACAAGAAAGTACATTCTCAACTTCAGCATATGGGTAGGTCTCAATGAAATAAGTTGGCTGTAGGCAAGCGTGGTTACAGACCTTGTTATCTGCTGAAATGAGTAAGGCAAATCTTGCAGAGAACTGCGCAGTGCAAAATTGAAACACTGACTTTGATCACCTGTCTTGCAGATTGCCAGCTCAGTGAGTATGAGATCAGTGTGATGCTGTCATGGGTTTGTGTTGCACAATGGCTAAGGTAAAGGTCTTGCATGGAGCTCTTGAGGAAAAATACATCATCTGTCAGAGGTGATGTACCTGTCAAAGAAGACCCCGAGCCTTATACAGTAGCAATTCTCTTTTTGTTGAGATAGGTACAATATTTTGAAGATGGAATTGACATCTGAACCTTTCCTGATTGCATCTGACTTTTCTAAAACTACACTTCTTTCCCTGAAGCGTAAATTTTAAAACTGTTTTTACCAGCCTTTGTTTTTCAGTTCATTATACTGCTCAAATAGACATCATCCATTTTTTCCACTTCAGCTGTTAATTCCCTAGTTATGTCTGAAAGGAATGTTTAAAAAGAACATTTCTCTATAACTGGCTGATCTGCAGGAATCGCATCTCTTTCAAGCTGGGTAGCCTTTTGGGGTTTTTTTGCTTGCAAACTGCAGCATGTTTTCTACACGAATGAAATCTAGGCAGCTAAGCTTGGCTAGTATTGATTCTGACAGCTAACAACCAACCCTATGCTGCAACTGTGACTTGAATTCAGTAGTTGGTCATTATTGTGGTTTAACCCTATGGTAACTAAAACAACCGTGCAGCCATTCACTCACTCCCCACCCCTCAGTGGGATGGGGAGAGAATTGAAGAAAAGTAAAACTCAGGACTTGATATAAAAACAGTTTGATAGAACAGAAAAGAAAGATAATAATAGTGATAAAAGAATATACAAAACAAGTGATGCACAGCACAATTGCTCACCAACCACTGACCGATGCTAGTTCCCAAGCCATGGCCCTCCCTAGCCAACTTCCCCCATATATACTGAGCATGACATCATATGGTATGGAACATCTCTTTGGCCAGTTTGGGTCAGCTGTTCTGGCTGTGTCCCCTCCCAGCTTCTTGTGCCCCTCCTGTGGAAGGGTTGTGCCTCCTCGCTGGCAGGGCCTGGGAAGCTGAAAAGTCCTTGACGTAATTATAAATGCTGCTTAGCAACAACTAAACATCAGTGTGTTATCGACATTATTTTCATCCTAAATCCAAACCACAGTGCTATACCAGCTGTTAAGAAGAAAACTAACTCTATCCCTGCTGAAACCAGGACAGTCATTAATAAATGAGCCAGAGTGCTGCATCCTACCTTCTCAATGAGACAGTATATTACCTGATGTTCTGTAACTATTCATAAAGTGCTCCTTAATCTGTTTTTCTCTTGTGGATAGTAGCCTTTTTTGGGTTTTTTTAATGTCCTAAGATGAGTAGTAATATATAACAGTTAAACTGCAAGTGCTCCTCTTCATTTGATAGACCAATGTAAGGACAGCTGCAGTTTGGACATTTCCCACATTCTTTGCTGTCAGGAAAATCACAGTCATCTGCCAGGCACTTTGATTTCAATCCAGCTAAAAAGTTCTTTAGATTCCTCAGTTTGATTTCCCCCTTCTGGCATTATCAAGGACTGCTCTTGGCTTCTGCACATAACAAATGCTGTCAGACCACAGTCAAATGATTCTTACTGCCTCAGGAAACAAATGTGAATCATCTTGGGGTGTCAGGTAGCTGAATGGATCAAGCTTAAAAAGTTTGAGCTGGTCTAGGAGGCCATGCCTTTTAAAACACATTAAGAAGCAATTTAATGTAATTTGAAGGTAAGTTTGTACATGAGCAGGTAAGAATTCTTGTCGTAATTTTTATTGTAAGTGTTTCTAACTGGCTTTGAGCGGAGAATGTGCCCACAGGAGTTACCCTATGACTGTTAATTTTGACCTGTTGGAGGAGAACGCGTTGGTCCAGGATTCCTGCAGAGCTCTTCCTGAAGGCACCTAGATCTGCCCTCCTTGTTGGAGTCTCTTCTCAGACATACCCTGAAACATGAGGCAGCCTGTTTGGAGTCGACTCTTCTCCAAATAAAGGTATGTAGATGCATGTCATTCTGTTTCAGTAGTCTTAATATCTAGAGACTTTGGCTTTTTTATTATTTTTTAATACTTATTTTTAGGAACCTGTTAACGTAGTGCCTTGGTGTGTCTGTTGTAATGGCGGTGCTGAGTGGTTGGTGCAGGGCTCTGACAGGACGGCTCACGACTGACAGCTGCTGGTGACCCAGAGAGCTGCCCGGAGACCTCCCCAACTGCAGGCAAGCTTTGACACAGAGAAAGCATGAACTGGCAGAAGACAAACAGAAGAACTGACTGAATAGGCCAGATATCCTTCTGATTTTAGTGGTGCCTCTTTTTGTTTTTACACAAGCCAGTTCTGAGGTCTGGGTGAATTGGGTGCAATTCTGTGAATCAGAACTGCCTTGAGTGTCCCTTCATGGAGGGAGTACCCTAAACAACCACACACTCAGAAGATGGATAGGGCTGTGGTGCTAAAGAAAAGCAAGGAAAATAAAAAGAGGGACTCTTCTCAGGAACTCTTTTCTTGGGAGACTGAGGGAATGCAAAACAGTTTTAAGGGTGATTAAGGGGCTAGATATGACTTCAGAATATAGACCCCAAGGGCATCATCTACAGTTTGGAACTAGGCAGCAAGCAGTAGTGATGAGCTAGAAGGAATAATTGCAGTCCTAATAACTGCTTACAGGAGTAACTTTAATCTCCAATTACATGTAGAGCAATCACCCAACAGTTGCCGTGGCCTATGAGTTGTGAAAGGTCTGGAAATCCAGCTGGATTCTTTCTTTCTTTCTTTCTTTCTCCTAAAGTAAGGAAACATGGAGCTTAGAGTAGCAGCTGTGAACAGTGATTCCAAACAGAAAAAACATATGCGGGAACTGCTACTGTCTTGGCTGTATGTCTGCTTCCCTTGATAACATCACTAAACATCTGCAGAGGCTGTAGAGACTCTTCCATCACTTCCCTGTGGTAATCATCTAATATGCTAACAGCCAGCATGTTTCCCTTTGGAAAGGAGTGCCTCCAGGAATGGCAGATACCAAACACTAGAGCTGGCCCCAGCTGACACTTTGTCCTCCTCCCACAT